CGATTTAAAATGTAAAAAATTTTTTTCCAGTTTTTTACGATGAAAGTTTTTTTTTTTTTTTTTTTTTGTTTCATTTCATTTTTTTATCAATGCAAAACGTCGGTCGATCAATTTCACTGGAATCACAATTTCGGTAAATCACAAAAACTTTAAAAACTATTTTTAAAACTTTCATTTTTTCCAATTAGAAAAATAAAATGACCAAAGAAATGAATGTTGTTGTTGTTGTTGTTGTCGTCGGAAATTAAAGTTTTTTTTTTTGTTGCAAAAAATATGTAAATCAACTAAACACAAACCAAATGAAAAAGTTTTATCTGTCAACTGGTAACTGTTTCACTCCCAAATTTGTTTCTGTAGTTTCTTCTGTTGAATGGATTAAAAATTTGTTCAACACTTTTGATTTTGTTGTTATCAACAAACAAACAAAAAAAAATCTTTTTATTCCATTTTCATTTTTCTTTAAAATATTTTTTCATTGTTTATTGCTATATATTTCATCATCAAAATATTTTTTCTGGTTCCAATGAAAAAAAATTGTCAACAAAATGAAAGTAAAATTGGCTTCTTTCATTCTTCTATTAGAAATTTGATTCATTTAGAATTTCTTAATAATTCAAATGAAAAAATGTTTAGATCCTCTTTTTCTGTTGGTTTTCATCAAATTTTTTTTGTTGGTGCTTTTTGCTAAGAAAAAACAAGATTTCTTGCAATTCTTAATTCTGTTTTCTAACCTTTTTTTTCGGCTAATTTAGTTGTCTTTTTTTTAGTTTATTAAAAATTTTACATTTTTCCCGGTTTGATTTGAATAAAAATTTCAATATCAAATAAAAAACAAACACTAAAAAAAATCGGGTTTCAAGTCGTCGGTCGTTTGTTTGTTTGTTTCGCTTGGTAGGTTTTTTTTTTAAATTGGAAAAACAAAAAAAATTTCCATAAAATCAATTGGGAAATTAAATTTTTTTCAAAAAAAAGAAGAAAATACACAAACAAACAAACAAACAAACCAACCAGGCAAACAAACAAATAAATCTCTATGGGCAAAATTTAAAACTAAAAAAAACTAATTTCAATTTCAATAAGAATATTATTTTTTTCTTCTTCTTTCAGATCAATAAAATGTACAGAAAACAGATAAAAATCAATTTGGATCGAATCGTCGTCGTCATCATCGTCATCATCTTCATTATTTATTTATTAATTACAAACAAAAGTACACTTCCCGAAGGCATTTTTATTGACAAGAAATCAACATTGATTCAATATATCATCTTCTGTCCACATTATGAATTCATTAGTTTATTTTTTTTTTGTAAATTCAAATAGTAAAATAAAACAATTTATTGATCCATAATCTTCTTATGGTTTCATCATTAGTCATTGAATAAATTTGTAGAAACCGAATTGAATCACTATTTTTCTTTCACTGTGATAATGATTTCCGTTTTGAATGTTGAATGTTGTTTTTCTTATCTACTTTCGAATTACCCAATAGAGAAATCAATATGGATTTGCATTTTTGCATCATATTCCAACTATAATGATGATTTTTTTTCTGGATTTTTCCATTTTCATTTTTTTTCGAAAAAAACCATAATCAAATCTATTTTATGATTCTGTATTCTTTTTTCTTGACAAAAATTTTCCGAAACTGAAAATCAATATTTTCGGGTTGTGAAAATTTTCCCGTAAATAAAACCGAATTGTGTTTGCGCGTTTTTGTTGATCAAAACAACACAAGAACGAGGACAATTTTATCATATCAAGCAAACAAACAAACAATTTTTCCCCTTTATCGAAGAGAATATTCGAGATGTTTTAGTTTTATTCAAAACTTTCTTAAATGTCATCATAATGAATGTCTTTTGATGATCAAAATGATTGACGTAATAAACTATAGTGACGTCTTTTGATGGTTGATAGTTGTTTGATAAAAATATATGGAAATGGAAAATTATTTCAATTTAAAATCAATAAAATCATAAAAATGACATTTTTTTTTCTTTCTTCACTGGAATATTTCGAAATCAATCGATTGATTTCTTTGTTATTGATCATAAAAACAGAAAAAAAGGGTCATAAATAATAATAATGATTATAAAACGAAGAAAAACAAGAAAATTACCAATCATAAAATCAATTTGATCGATGATTGATCAATAATCTTGTGTTATAGAGTATTTTTTATCTGTTTTTGGTTCATGATTATCATTATATCTGCAACTGATTATGTAATGTGGTCCTTAGATAAAGAGATCAAATGACAAATCAAATCAAATGAATTGAAAAAAAAATAAATCCAGAAAAATTTTATTTTGCCGAATGTTTAGTTAGAATCATAGAGAATTCAACTTGAAAAATTTTGTTTCACGACGAAAAAAAACTGATGATAATGATTTATGATGAAATCATTTTTGCAATTATTTTTCACTGTTTCAATGTTTCATTCTGTATTTGCAAATTATCTTTTTTTTTAATCATTTCTTTTGGTTCAATGATTTTATTGCATCAGTGATGGCCATGTGGATTCTTTTTTTTCTCCAATTTGATTTGGATGTTGTTTGTTTCATTCATTCATCATCATCATCATCATCGTGATCCATGTTACAAGAAGAAATTCCAGTGATACAGAAAGTCATCAAGTCTAATGATCATAAATCATAATAATTCTAATTGTCATTGAAAGTCAAATAATGATAATCTTATGGACCAAACGAACGAACGAACGAAATGTTTCCAAAAAAAACATTGAAATAAATTTTTACCATTGAGATTTTCTTTTTTACTATTACATTTTTGGAATTTTTGATGATTTTTAATCAATAATTTAAAATGAAAAAATGCAATGCAGAAAAGCCAACTTTTTTCCCCCATTCTCTTT